AAGTCTATGCTTTTGTCACTCACGTTTGCGGTTAGTTTGATAGAAGGATGGTGGTTGTTGAGAATTTCAAAGAATTCCCAAAACTGTTCGATAGAATAAGTCCAAACCATAAAAATGTCATCCAAAAAGCGTCCGTAAAAAAGTGGGTCAAATGGACAGAGGGGCAACACCTCACGTTCCCACTCTGCCATGAAAAGGTTTGCGTACGAAGGGGCGAATCGTTTGCCCATTGCTATCCCTGAAGTTTGTAAATATGTTTTACCATTAAATGTGAAATCGTTTCGACTAAGACAAATCTCTAAAAGCTGTAGAATTGCATCGTCGGGTCTGTTTGGATCTGGGTTTCTATTAAAAGCTTTACGAACTGCCGTTAAACCAGTAGTGTTATCGATATTGGTATACATAGAAGAAACGTCGATAGAAATTAAAATAGCATTAGAGGGAACTCGAAGATTTTTTATTTTATTGACAAAATCGGTTGTGTCTTTAAGGTAGGCGCGATGTTGGCATGCTAGAGGTAGTAAGAAATGATCAATGTATTCTGACACTGCATATGACTCACTACCACAGTCAGATATAATCGGGCGGCCTTTAGGGATTTTATTCGAGATAAACCACTCCTTGGTTGGATTCTTATGGATTTTAGGCAAAGTGTACAAAGTCTCTCGCGACAATCAGGTTTGGCAGACAGATAGTCATATTGTTTCTGTTTGAGATAACTAGTTTTGACTAAATCGGCAAGAATATTATTAATCATGTTAGCAGTTTCTTTGAAAATTGGTTTCGGTAAAATGGCATAATGTTTAGGATTATTCAGTTGATTCTCTGCTTCTGAAACGTAATCCTCCCTATTCAGAATGACACAACATGAACCTTTGTCACTCTTTTTAATAACAATGCTATCGTCTTTCTTAAGTAAGTTTAACGCTTCACGTTCCACTCGTGTGAGATTAGGCTTTTCGTGTGTTATGGAAAGGTTCATTGTTTGGCTATTCATACTAGCAAATGCTTTCAATATTTCAGGATGGATGGCGGCCTGAGGGGGTGTCCACGTGGATTTAGGAATAAACATTGTTCTAGCACCACGTGGGGGGTGGTTTCGATAAAAATATGTGCAGCTAAGATTTCGTTGAAATCGTTCAATGGATGGTCGGAGATAATTCAAGTTAGCTATCTTTGGTGTGGGAATAAACTTAAGTCCACGGTCTAAGATTGAATGCTGAAGGGGTGTGAGAATTTTGCGGCTCAAGTTAACTACAGTTTGGCCTAGCGGTGGCCTCTCAGTATTTTTATCCCCAGTAATTAGTTTAAAGACTTACTCGATGCTTGAAGCTGGTGTATCCAAAACAAATAAATGCTGTTTGCTGTTTCTGGAGACCAATGAAGATTATCAACCGACGTTGCTTAATTGATGACAAGTCAGAAATAGTAAACGAGGCCCTACACACATTGATGCTGTAAATACCATAGTTATTTATTTGATGTTGTAAATACCAAATAATAATAAATGCTTTGAAAATGCGAAAGTTTTCATGTCTAGCATGTACATATATGCCCAAAACATGCAACCTGTTTTCAGTTTTCAGAAGATATTTTCAAGATGACCCCCGCTTGTATCTCCCACGGTGGTCCAACTAACTCATTATTTTAGCTCTCAAATTATTTTTACAACCTCCCTCCCCCTTCCTTCCTGCAAAAATGTCTGCAGACGGCCATCAATGGTCACATGGATAACATGATTGTGGGTTCCATCTGATATGTTACGCTGACTAAAAGAAGAAACATAATAGTCCGAAATCGTCCGAGAATATAAGATTCAAATGGTGCTTTGAGAGGAAGTGCCATATTTAAAATTTTGTGGAAAAAAACCTGACGTCAAAAAGCGATTTTTTTTGTAAATTATAAAAAACCGCCCCTATCTATTAGCTCTTATACTACTCTTTTGCCTGCGGCGCCCGCAGGCCCACCAAACAAACGACCCCACCAGGCACATAGTTAATAAATCCGGAGCCTATAGGGGTTCCCGTTTAGCAACCCCCAAGCGCCCCAGGCCAATAATATCTTCAAATTAACTCATTTAAAAACAGAATGAGTTTAATTTTAAAACACGAACAACACAAATTCGAAGGAGACGGATTCTTCTCAGCTTTATCGTCTCTCATCCCAAAAGTAGCCAACTTTGTCTCCAAATTCCTCATTTCATCTGGAGCGCAAGCTCTTAGAGCGGTAGCAAAAGCAGGAGTAAATATAAGCGAAACAGTGAAAAGATCAACTATTAACACTGTCTCAATTTTGTTAAGCTGGAAGATTAGGAATATAATCATACAAAATCAAGGTATGTTCTTTGCTTGATTTAATCATAAGACGAGAGGGTGGAATTAAGATTATTTGTTGTTTTTCAAAATATCAATTTTGTTGTATTCCGGTATGTTCTTTGCTTGATTTAATCATAAGACGAGAGGGTGGAATTAAGATTATTTGTTGTTTTTCAAAATATCAATTTTGTTGTATTCCAGACACAAGTTTAATAGATGCCAACATTTCATACCACGAAGAATATTTAAAACATCGCAGGCAGTGGGAGATACTACCAAACTCTGTGACAAATATCCGAGGTTTCAAAATTGTTCATAGAGATATTGAAAATAGAACAAGTGGTGAAGAACAAGCGTTTTGGAAAAGGATATAATTCATGTGACGTATATCTAGCGATTCTAATAGGAGCGGTGGTAACCCCTTGACTCTTGAACTATGACTACCAATAGTGTAAGAGGGGAGATAACTCTCAAGTATATCTAGCGATTCTACTAGGAGCGATTGTGACCCTTGAACTATGAAGTATATCTAGCGATTCTACTAGGAGAGGTTGTGACCCTTTAACCATGACTGGTAATAGTGTAAGAGGGGAGATAACTCTGAAGTATATCTAGCAATTCTACCAGGAGCGGTCGTAACCCCTTAACCCTTCACCCTTGACCCATGACTGGTAATAATGTAAGAGGGGAGATAACTCTGAAGTATATGCTAGTATATAACCAGAAACTTTAGTTATGAAAATAATAGAAGCTATTGAAACAGCTTCCACAACTGTAATAATGGTAAAAAAATCAGCATAACTAAAAAACTTATTGATAAATACAAATACTGTAAAGTCAGAGATGATATAGACTTAGAAAGAATTGACGCGAAAGCAAAAGAAGGTGGATTTTTACCTTTCCTACTACCTTTAATATTTTGTGGTATTGCAGCGGCAGGTGCAGCAACTGGTGGAATATCTGCCGCAGTCAAAGCTGCCAACGCAAAGAAAGCAGCTGATGCTAAAGCCACTGAAGAACGCAGACTTAATTTAATAATGGAAAAGGAAGTTAAAGGTTCAGGAGTGGGACATATGATAGGCACAATAAAAGAATTTGGAAAAAGATTTGGGGAAGAAACCAAGAAAACTGTTAAACAAGGATTAAATAAATTAGTAGATAGTATTGACACAGGAGAAGTCAAAGTCAAACATAAGGGTAATGGAATATTTGTAAAAAATATACACACTGGAGAAGGATTATCTCTTTCAAAGTATAAAGGAGGAGTGATTTTTGGAAATATAGAATAAAAAATGGGAAAGAAATTTAATCATTCAGAAATATTTCCTAGTAACCCAATGCTTATGTGTATTTGTGGAGGCTCAGGTTCTGGGAAAACTTATTTGACCTTTAACATGTTGAGAACACCAAAACTTTTAGATTTCGATTCATTATATATCTATCAATTCCTCAAAGCTTTAGAATATATACCAAAGAAAGACGTTCAAGACATATTTAAATATTATGAAGACAAGAGAGAGATAGAAATAAAAGATATCTTAGATACATATATAAAAGAAAAGAATCCATCTTTCAATCCAACGGATATAAAAAAAATTTCTTACGAAAAATGTTAATGATTTAGATTTTTCTAAAATTGATAGTGAGCGAAAGAACTTAATAGTGTTTGACGACTGTGTAGCACAAAGAAATCAAGCTGTTCAACAAGAATTCTTCACGAAGGGAAGACATCACTGTATTCATCAATCCCAATCTTTCTACGGTATGGATGCAATGTTCATTAAATTGTTTTTTATTATTCGAATTGAACGACAAAGATTTATCTCAAATTATTCAGTCAATTAATCACGGAATGGATAGAGATACATTTAAAAAGGACTGTAAAGCACAATGGAGAAACCCAGATGATCATGTATATATATTCGTTAATACTAGAAAAAATGCAGGCGAAAGAGTTATGACAGGTATATGTTAATTTCATTTCTTTAAAAATGGGTGATTGGAATAATATTATAAAAAAAACAGACAATATATCAAAGCTAAGAATAAAATAAAGACCCAAGTTGAAAATAACTTACAACAACTTGGATTAAAGCTAACATGAAGTCACAAAAAGGCGCAATACCTAAACAAAAAAAAAGTATAGGTCTGTATTGGCCTAAGTCAGCTTGAATCGTTTGACTGAAGCCATACAGACCTTTGTCTTTGTCAACTTGAGAAGCAACCAAGCGTAGCGCAGCCTCATATATAAACCGAGCCGGCGTGTTTTCGTCTTCACTGTCAACATTGATTTCAACTGGACAACATCTCACAGCTCAAGAAGATTATAATCCGAAAATGTCCGACGAAGTAAATATTATATAATTTATACATTTCCACTGCATCCATTCCATCTCCATTCATCTCAAAACCCTTTATAAACAAATAAAACCATCGGTTTTTGCCACTACTCTATATTATAGGCTAAACAGATGGACTATTGCAATCTGTATTCAATTTCACGAGGACATCTCATCTCATCTCAATACGAAGTTGACGAAGTAGATGATTATGTTGAAGACAACAATTCAATCATACAAGAAATAGACGAATTAGAAGAGGAGATAGCTAGAGAAAACAGCGGACAAGGTATAACTTTTTTATCCGATAATAATGAAGAATTGCTTAATAGATTAGAAATAATATTAGCAGCAATGAAAGAAGGTCATCGTTCAGACAAACAATATAATGAAGTAAATTGCATATTAAAAAAATTCCCAGAGAAAGGTATTATAGATAAAAATGATTATAAAAACGTAATTGATAAAATTATCCAATAAAAATAGTCATTGAAAAATGCCAAATAAAGAACAACTATTCGTTATAACCTCAAATAAATCAGACATTAAATTGTCTCTAGATTATCAGTACGAACTCAATCGCAATGAAGAATATGAACGTCAGATTATTTACAGTATTCCAACATTCACTGTACCGATTGGATATAAAATTATAGAGAAACCATTTCAAACAACATATTTGCCACTTAATTCGTTCATGATTAAAAATATAAATCTGGAAATCAAAGATGGTAAAAATAGGTTTATTGATTTTGGTAACGAAGAAATTGTTATTCAACTTCACTTAAAACAAAAGAACTAAATTTATTGAGTAATTAATCACTCTTCCTTCTCATCTTGAATATATATGTAATCGAAATCATCAAATTCATAGTTTTCACCAAACCTATACCCATCTTTATCACTATAAGGAAACATAATTCCTTCACTGTTTGGTGGTTTTCTCTTTACAAGATTCAAATAACTTCTAAAAACTTTATCATCATCCTTTGGAATAACTACTCCATTCATGAAACTCCTTTCCCATCTTTTATTAAATTCATTCGACACATCATGTCCACTAGCCAACTGAATATAATCTTCTACACTTGTCTTGTTATTAGAATTAACCCTTAAACGTTTTCTTTTCTTTTAAAACACCATCAGAATGATATTATATTTGACTTTTGGTGCTAAATATAAACCAAATATAATTCCACCATCACCATAATCATTCTTGCCTTTACAAAATTCATTTCAGATACCAACTCAGCTCGATTTAATTTATCCCAATTTCTAGATGAAATGTATAAACTATCAGTATCGGTATAGTATATTTCAGGTTTACAAAATCCATTTACTACATGAATGAAATTATTCATTATTTTGTTACTGTGAGATAAAACGAATGATCCCAAATGACTAGGTGTTAGTCCTGTAGATTTAGTTGAGTGATCTTCAGCAGTAATCTCCTTTTCTTCAATTTCTGTCTCAACGAAATATTGAGTATCATTTATTTTTTCATAGTTTTTAACATGTTAGCCTGAAAAGTTACTTCATTCCACAAATGATTTCTCGTGTTTCTATCCTTCTGAATGGATTTACCATACAAGGAATTGCCTAATAATTTCATGCAATTACTACCCACAATATTACCTTCTCGTTTATATTTATCTGTAAGATCTCTTAAAATTAAAATATAATCTCTATATGGTGGAGTTTTAAAATTTTCTTCGTATACTATACCATCTAATATTCTAATAATTCGTCCACAGGCTTTAACCATTTCTTGAATATCGACCGATGTTAAAACATCTGAACAGAAACCATTTCTAAACCTGATTTTACTGCCAGTTTCCCTTTTCCTTCTTTATTCGTGAAAGTGATATTATCTTTAAATGGTATCGGTTGGAAGAACATGTTTTTGGGATAGTCAAACCACACTGTTAAAATAGCTGTTCTAGGTCTAAATTTCTGTTTAATGAGGAGTTTGACAAATTTGTTTTCTTCTTCTGGTAGAAAAGGTCTAGCACTTTCTGCTTTTGGATATTCACTGTCTAAATCCGACATTGCTGAAGCATAAAAACCATTAGCATCATATGCCATTAGTTTATTGCAGTTTATTTTTTTAAGTTTTGAATTAACTTCTGTTTTGTCTTTTGTGCCCGCGCTGTATTCCTTTTTCCTTCTTTATTCGTTAAAGTGATATTATCTTTAGCTGGTATCGGTTGGAAGAACATGTTTTTGGGATAGTCAAACCACACTGTTAAAATAGCTGTTCTAGGTCTAAATTTCTGTTTATTGAAGAGTTTTACAAATTTGTTTTCTTCTTCTGGTAGAAACGGTCTAGCACTTTCTGCTTTTGGATATTCACTGTCTAAATCCGACATTGCTGAAGCATACAAACCATTAGCATCAAATGCCATTAGTTTATTGCAGTTTATTTTTTTAAGTTTTGAATTAACTTCTGTTTTGTCTTTTGTGCCCGCGCTGTGTTCTTTGAATAGATTAATTATGTTATCTCTTCTTGAATTATCACTTCGTGTTTCACTTTGAGAAATAAATTTCTTTAATACATTACAAATTTCATCCATGTTGTTCGTTTCAAATATTTTTCTATTTGCCGAAACTCTTCCTCCTTTAATAGATCGTCTGATATAATGTCTTATAAAAGGATTAGTGTGCGAATAAACTTTTTCTATATTTTCTTTTTTAGCATGTTTCGGAACCATTCTAGTAGTTTCATACCATTTTTCTTCAACCATTTCTTTATCGTAATGATACAAATAATACCAACCCTTACAAGATAAAGATGGAGCCGTTAGATTATTGGACATATTTTGGTTTACAACTTCTTTCGTGACTTGGTTATATTTTATCAAACAACTTCCAAGATATAACGTATCTCTTTTAGCGTAAGATTCTCAGTTATCTTTGGTGTATTTTGCAACATTAATATAAATGATCTTTCTCAAATTCATTGGTAGATTAGATGAATTACCCCATGTTGCTATACTAGATGTTTCATGTTGATAGGAACATGTGAAATTAATATGTTGTAAATAATTGCCTGTTATTTCTTTCTGTCTTTTCCATTTTTTCTGTAAATCTTCATCTGTGTATGGATTAGATAGAGGCACGATCCAGTTATCAAAATTGCTACCGTTATGAGAAATTAATATTAATCTCTTACTATCATATTGACCTAAATATTTCAACATTTGATCTGTACAATCTGTACAACAAACACTTTTAGTTTCAGAGGTGAAACCTGTGTTACTGCGTTATCGTCTCTACACGTTGTCCAAACTTGTTCATAATTATCTTCTATTTCTTTGATACCCAAACTTTTTTGATTTCTTCTTATAAGACTGAAATGTGAGTTGTGTAAATATAAAACCCAAGCTAATTCCTCTTTTACAATTGTGGGGTGCAAATTGCTATTATTATGAGTATAAATTTGAAATGTAATATCACATTTCTTATTGAATTCATTAATTCTAGCAGATGTCATCACTCCTTTTCTATTTGCTTTTGAGAAACCATTGATGAAATTTTGAAATTCATTTGATAAATCTTTGTTTAAAACATAGTTTACACATTTGATAAAACAGTTACCATCTGTTGGTATGTAATAATTTCCACCTATATATTCATTCATTTTTTGAGTAGTTCAGTTCCTTTCCAACTTATGAACTTTTAATTTCTTTAAAATTGTCTTTAAGTAAAAAGATACTTTCTGTAAAGTACCAATGAATGTTTCATCATCATTAATTTTATTGATTTATTCATATTTTTGTGGGACTTTGCTTTCAGCGAGCATAACTCGCAAAGTATACGTTTGTTCAAAATGGAATTTTGCATACAATTATCTCATGAATTGAGCCACTTTGTCTTAGAAGTTCGGTTGTTTCCGCTTCTTCGTTCAAAAAAAGGAACAGATTTTGGAAATTCAAAATTTTTAATTTTTGACCTTGACCTGTGATGACCTTGACCTTTATTGGGTCAAAGGTCATTGACGTTGTCCATTAGTTTATGCTTTCATATTTGACCTCTGACGTCTACTTTCGCTTTTATAGCTGTCCAAAAACATCCAAATTCGCAACTTTGGACTGCTCTAGTATGTGACCTAATTAACCTAGAGAGTAAATTTTTTCGGTTTCCTAATGTGCTTCTCGTGTACTTTAAATAGATATATATAACAATCGTTTTTTTTAAAGCAAAATTGAAATTCGTGATTTTTTCAAATTTGAGTTTTTTTTTTTACAATATTTGCGACTTGTTGAGCTTAGTGTATGTATATGTTATGATCTATTTGATGTAGAACCTTGATATTTGGGATATAACTAGACTTTGAATATGAATTCACCTATGACAAAAAAACTTATGTGGGCGTGGCACATCCGGGTTGAATTACTAATTGTTTACATTTTGGGGCTGGGGCATAACTCGCATAGAATGCGTTTGTTCAAAAAGAGACTTTGCACACAATTACCTCATCCTTTTGGCCAGTATGTATTAACAGCTCAGTTGTTTCAGCTTTATAGTTTCAAAAAAGGAACGGGTTTTAACATTTGGATATTTTCATTTTTCGATTTTGACCTTTGTTGACTTTTGTTGACCTATATCTTTTGACCTCTATTATGTAGGAACTTGACATTTGGAACATAACGTAACATTTTGAATATTGATTAACTTATCCAAAAAAAATTGAGTTGGGCGTGGGACTTCCGGGTTAAATTACTCATTATTGACATTTTTGACCAGGGGCATAACTCGCAAAGTATACATTTGTTCAAAATGAAACTGTTTACACAATTACCTCATATTTTGAGCCACTTTGTCTTAGAATTTTGGTTGTTTCCGCTTCATAGTTCAAAAAAAGGAACAGGTTTTGGAAATTCAAAATTTTCAATTTTTGACCTTGACCTTTGTTGACCTTGACCTTTGTAAGATCAAACGTCATTGGCATTGGCTATCTATTTATACTTTTATATTTGCTGTCCTAAGTCAACTTCTGGTTTTATAGTCGTTAGCAATTTGAAATTTTAATGGCGTATATCTGTTGATCTTGACCTTTTTAGGCCTTCCCCTTTACAAGATCAAAGGTCATTGACCTTGGCTATCAGCTGATACTTTCATTTGTGAGGTCTGACGTCCACTTCCGGTATTAAAATCTTCTAAAAAATGAAAATTTCTCAACTTTAGACTGTTCTTGCGCTTGATCTAATTATCGTGGAAGGTTGATTTTTTCAGGGTCTTTTGCATTTTGCTACATTTGCAAAGTCCCACTCTGTGCCACGTGTGGTTCTAGTTTATATATGCTTTTTAAATGATCTATTTTTAAGTATTTTTTTTAACTTTTATCGCTGATATTTGCTTCTCAAATTTTTCTAGAATTTCATTGAATTGTTATGTTCTTATCTTCTCTCATAATATAAATAATTTATTAAGATATGAATTTAAAATTTCTGTTTTCTTTTTACAATGAGATTTTTGTTTTGATGTATAACCTATAGCAATCAACCCACAAGATGAAGTTTGAATAGCAGTAATTGTTGCTAATAAAGTTGGGATAAGTACTGGAACCATTAATCCACCAGTTACAGCCGTTGCAACTGTTGTTCCTACTGTTAGAAGTACACTCAGTGTTTTGAAATCAGAATCAACTCTAATCCATCTTTTCTTACATTTATTATATTGTTCTAGTTTTACTTTTAACTCGTTTTGTTTGTCTATCATATATTGTTGTCTACTTTTGAGTTCCATTTTTACGACATTAAATTAAGTGAATTTCTGATAAAGAAAAGATGGATAATTTTTATCTAAAATATCCACCTCAACCGCGGAGCCATGATAAATTTCTATGGTTTTAAAAATAGTAACTTCTACAGTTACTATAGATATTTCTTCTTTCGAATCATTGATCTTATTCAAATGAACTGAAAGTTTTGGTTTTTTGATATTGATTTTTATCATACATGTATAAGTATATATACCAACAACTTTTTCACTTATTATAAATATTATATTATAAATATTATAAATTTGTTATCTTGTTGATTTTTATGAATATCAATTGAAGTAAATAAATCAGTATTAACAAACTATAGTTTTACATATTCAAAGTCTGTTGATGTTCGTAAAAACTCATAACTCCTTGTTTTCCCCTTATTTTGTGGTTCTGGATTTCTAATAATACTTACTGATGGAGTTTCCGTCTCCAATATCATATCAAATTCACCCAATCCAAATACTTCATCTTCTTTTTCTGGTATTATCAGCATTCTAAACCTATCTAAATATTTTCCATTTGTTTTAATTTAATATAAGTAATAAACCTTGGTGTTTTCATCGTTAATTTCAAATTCTTTAGTTTCTACATTTTCTCTACCATTGATAAACTGAAGAACTTTACGAGCGTTAAATTGATTAGGTAATTCTTATTTTTGTGCGAAGAATATTGTATCAACTTTGAAGTTTTCCTCGGAAAATGAAATATGATGCATAATCTTCATTAAAAATAGCTTGGGGGTACATAAAATCTTAGACAGAATATCCTTTAACGGTTGCTGTAAATCCATATTTTTTATATTCATATTCATATTGTTTTATCAATATTATTAGTAATAGAAACATGTTTTCCACCAATATTTTTAAATGGAAGATTGAAATAATATGATTTTTTTTCCTTGAGTTTGTTTTCTAATGTGGTTATATTTTTTTCCTGTTTTAAAACTTCATTATTAATAGTAGTTATCTGCTCACTATAATCAATATTTTCTATCTGTTGTTTAATATTTGTTACTTCTTTTTGTAATTCAGTTTTAAATTTAGTTTCTAGAGCAGTTGATTCCTGTTGCCATTTATCTTCACTTATACCTGGTTTAATAATATCTATTAGTTGTTTAAGGTCTATTTTTTGTTTTGCTATCTTATCATCTAATTTAGATATTAATGATTTTAAATTTTGTAATTGACTTTTATCTACTACATTTAGAAGTTGTTGTTTAATAGCATCTATTTCAGTAAATTAGATAATAATGAACTTTCTAACCGAGTTTGTCTAGATGTTGTTGAATGGCGACTATTTCACTATTATCATTGAGTTTGGTTTCTAATGCGGCTAATTCATCTTCATTTCATACCTGGAATAATATTATCTATTAGCTGTTTAAGATCTATTTTTTGTTTTGTTATCTAATCATCTAATTTAGATATTAATGATTTTAAATTTTCTAATTGAGTTTTATCTACTACATTAAGTAATTGTTTTTTAATACCAACTATTTGTTTTTGTATTACACTATTATCATTAAGTTTAGTTTCTAATGATGTTAATTTATCTTCACTTCTACCTGGATTAATATTGGCTATTAGTTGTTTGAGATCTACGTTTTGTTTTGTAATCTTATCATCTAAATTAGATATTAATGAACTTAAAGGTTGTAATTGAGTTTTATCTACTACATTAAGTAATTGTTCTTCAATAAAACTTTTAAAACTTGTTACTTCTTGTTGTAATTTAGTATCATCAATAAAATCTTTATTATTTATTTGTCGTTTGAAGTATCTTTTCACATCGCCTATTCTTTCTTTTAAATGTTCTTTATTCACTTCAATTAAATTTAATTGATCCATTAAATATTTCTTGTGAACAGCATCATAATCATTTTCTGGTAACTTTAAATTAGTTATGGTAAAATTATTCATATCTAACGCACCTTGAAGGGTGTCTCCAATTTGTTCCACAAAGTAAGGTTTCGCTTTATTTATCCACGCTGTTGTGTTAAGTTTTTTAGTATCTAAAGGTAAAGAACCTAATCCAAATTTATACGCCATTTTTATCAAGTTAAATTTTTTATCATTTTTTATAAACTTAATTGATATAAAACCCAAAGTGAAAGTTGACCACAAAATTTTTGACCCGGTATTTAAATTTGAAATGTTGAACATTTGATTGCTTTCACTAATTGCATTATCTCTTCAGTTGGTTCTAATCCAAAAGAATCTAAGAAATAAAAGTTATTTAAAGAGTCTTTGTATAAAGCAGAGTGATGTACTCCGTTTTGATCTGAAGTATGTATATTTGTTATCGTATAAAATTTACCTTGATAATATTTATTTCATCTCGCATACAATAATAAAACGGTGATATATTTAACTCATTTGCTCAAGTTGAAAGTTTGTAGTTGTATCGATTCATTTACAACCTCTGGTAATATTTTAAGTCATTTTTGGGATTTCAATTCCGTGAACTTTTTGAATAATTTGTTTTTAAGAGTTCTATTATATCTCTCAATAACTACAGCTGTACCTTCATTATGTGTGCTGTAAATTTCAAACCCAAGTAATTTCATATTTTTGTTATAAAATTCACTTCCTTTATCTACCCATAACTTTTGAGGTCGTCTGTTGGATTGTTTCATTATTGTTTCAAATACGTGTTTGACTGATAATCCTGTTTTGTTTTTGAGAGGAATAACCCATGTATATCTTATTTATATCCTCTTTCGACTGGCATATTAATTAAATCTGCTGACCATATTTCATCTTTATCAAACACTTTGACTTTTAAAAAATGTTTGTTTTTTCTAAATTCTTTATGTATTTCTTCTGCTATTCCCATACCCATTTTCATCTTTGCTTTCAAGAGTTTAATGATTAATGCTCTTTGAATTCTCTCTTTGAAAGTTGGATTTGGAATATTTTCAAGTTCGATTATCATTTGTTTGACTGCTTCGTGTCTGGATGTTATGTCTTTAATTCTGTATAATATATCGTGTTTTAGCGCAGCGGCGTCAACTCTATTGACGGGTTCTTCACCTGGTTTGGGTTTATCGTTTTGGTCTAATAGCAGATCTTACTTGGTACCTGGACACGTGTAATTATCACCGGTGTTTTTATCCGGGGTATTTTGCCCATGGAAATCCAGGAAGAGAACCTAATGATTTTTTAATGTCGGAACCGAAATAAGTTTAGGAGTTTGAGCAATTATCAGTGACATTTTTATCCAATAATTTTAAAACCATAGCCTTTTTTGTTTTCTAATCTTTTATTTCGCATTTCTCTTATATGTTGTAATTCTTTCAATTCGTTAGATCTTTTCACTGTTTCGCTTATATTTACTCCTGCTTTTGCTACAGATTGGTAAACGGGTACCCCTATAGGCTCCGGATTTATTAACTATGTGCCTGGTGGGGTTGTTTGTTTGGTGGGCTTGCGTGCGCTGCAGGCAATAGAGTGGTATAAGAGCTTATAGATAGGGGGCGGTTTTTATCATTTATAAAAAGAAAATCGCTTTTTTATGTTGACGTACTTTCATGTTATATTCAAGAATCATAATCAATCTAAACAGTCACTGATTTAGAGATGGTAGCGCCTTGTCCTTATTCCTTATTCCACTACTATACAATGGAAGAGATATTTGCATAATATAATAATATAATTATATAATATAATAAGCGCAGAATGTTTTACCTAATTTGTCTTTAATTTTTAAACTATAATGCATCAATGCATTAGTTACCGTGTCAATTCTATTCTCAGGTGTAGATTCCTTAGTAATGTTTGAGAATGTTCCCAAATAGGCCCATAACCTCTCAACACTGTCACCATCTGTGAGGCCCATACCATCCATTTTACGGGGACCATATAGAACATGGAAAGACTTATAGAGCTCAATAACACAGCCAAGTTATCAAAGGTTTCTAACATTCTCATTTTTGTTTTTCAACGAAATCTGCAACTGAATGTATATGAAATATCTAGAAGTCAGGAATCTCTTCCATATCAAAATGTTAGGGATCAAATATTGAACTCATTTTAGAACATGAACTTTTCAACTAAACATCACTAAAATTTATGACAAGCCCACAAAATGAACAATAAATAATAAAAAATAACATTAGATAAGGTTACCTGGCATGAAACTTTGTGACCATATGCATGGAATATCGGAATAGATCTAAAATTGTATTTTGTTTTTGTTTCTGAAATGATATACAAATAGTGTTATAAATTATAAAACAAGGTTCCATCATCAGCTTATAATCAAATATATATATATAATCTATGTATTTGACTCACAATTGAAGAATTTGTACTCATATTGTTTGACTTTGTAACAAATGGCTTTGATTGTCACACTATTATATATGTCAATAACTCAATTGATAAATATATGAGGGAGATTGTGACGAGTTAGCCTGGAAATCGCTGCAATCCTACAAAATATATATTTACTTTATTATTTCTCTCTGAAAGCAATATACATAATTTGTTGGCCAATAGTGTTCCAAACAAGACTATTTAGGAAGAAAATGAATGACATTGGCCAGAATGAAGTTCAACCTTTCATTTTTTAAATATTGATTAGACTATTAAAGATTGCGCACTGAGAAATATCAAAATGACAATTCGACAAGTTGATGAGAAAAAAAATACAAAAGAAGTGCAAACAGCAGGTGAAAAGTTGTTACAGAAATAATGTAAATACGTTTGAGACATATCCCAGGAAAATCTGCTTGACTAGATGAAGTGATGTCTTTTTCTGAATCTTGATGATCTATATTTCGATTACCTGAGTTGGTTTACTTTTGTCACTGCTGTATTCTTTCATAAATAGATCAACTTCAGTTTGATCCAAAAAAAAAAAAATTACCAGAATGTTTTGGCTTTTTGGTTTAAAGAGAAATATTTCGATTACCTGAGTTGGTTTACTTTCGTCACTGCTGTGACATAAACAGATCAACTTCAGTTTGATCCAAAAAAAAAAAAAATTACCAGAATGTTTTGGCTTTTCCCACTCATTTCCAGCAGACGTTTTTCTAACTAACTGAAAATCTGCATGGAGACTATATATCTTTCTCGAACTCTAAAATGATAATATAGACAAAAACTGTGAAAAAAGGGCAGTTAGTTATAAATCCAATTCTTGTAGACATCTTTATTACACAGAAATATTGAGTTACCATAATTGTAAAATGAGAATCCTACCCAGTTTGCTCTTTATGGAAAGATGTCATTGTGTCTTACAGTTCTTTCTTGAAAGCTGTAGTGACAAATCACATCACATCTCCAATACAACATTGTCCAATAAAAATTAGCAAGCTTTTCCAGCTTATGAAATCAGTTGCAGAAGAAAAATTGAACGCACTGCTTTGTTTTGCAAATGACTATTTTTTTTTCCCGATTCTGGTCAGAGCGCCCAGCAAAAACTGCATATGTCACACATTAACTGACATTATTATCTGTCATATAGTGCGTGTCGTTGTTGTTTAAATGTAAAATGACGCATTTTTGCCCAACCGGAAATGACGTAGGACGTAGACACACTTAACGTCTTTCGAATAAGTGCTCCAATTCTGAATCCATTTTTGATCGAAATTTTTGTTTTGTTCATTACTTTTTAGAAATGGCTAAAGGACAGCACTTTTGTCGCTGACTTTTTTTCTTTTAATAATAACGTTTTTTTCAACTTTAGAATTTTATTTCGATCGATCTGAAAATTTACGAGTTGATAGACATTTTGATTGCGAACAAAATTCTGTTCTAAAATTTTCTGTATCACTTCCGGTATTGACGCCATTCGCTCTTAAAGTTGAAATTTCAACTTCCGGAATTTTATAGATATTTGAAAAATTCTTTTTGCAACATGCTAGAATTGTTTATATCAAAGATTTGAAATGATAAAATGCGTCCCGGAAGTATTAGATCAGCCACCATCTTGATGTGACTAAATTGTCTAAAAGTAATTTTTTTGGATCGTATTTGTATCATTTTAATGTCTATATTATCAGTGAACGATTCCTAACAATCGTGTGGGAGCCGATTTTGCAAGGTCAAAGGTCGTTGATCTGGGATATCCATTCATTTTTTTTATCTTTGATATCCGACAGACTTTTCATGTATCTTTTATTTAACCTTTGTTGATCTTTGACCAGGACAAAAGTTATTGTGCTCGACCAGATCTATTCAAATGTATTTTCATTTGTATTGTGCGGTGTTTATTATACGTTTTACAGCGATTATAAAAATCGACTTTTTACTACCGAGTGTTAACGCTTTTTACTACCCTATCTTATCAATTCAATGCGTCTTTTCACTACCGAACGCCCTGCTTTGTTTTCGTAATTATTATTTTTTTTCCGGACCCGGGAGCTTATTTCTCGGAAACGACCTCTGACCTTTGATGATCTTCATATTTACTTTGATAATAATTTGTGACCTGCTTTATTTGATGACCTTTTGCACTTTTGAATTTCACCAAACTTGGTATGTATGTGTATAATTCAATTCTAAATTTGATGCCAATATGGAATTTTTGTTGTGCGCATGCGCACTACCAACTTTCTTATTTCTCATCCGATTTTCATCAAACTTGGCATATATGTGTAGAATCCAATCTAAATTTGATGGAAATATAGAATTTTGGTGGGCGCATGCGCATTGCCAACTTTCATATTTCTTATCCGAATTTCACCAAACTTGGTATCTATGTGTATAATCCAATTCTAAATTTGATGGAAATATTGAATTTTTGTTGTGCGCAAACTTTGACGGATCGATTTGAAATTTATATGGCGTAGACCGTCGGTAGGGGCAAATAATTCTGCATAGTCAAAAAATGTTCATCACTTCCGGTTTCGATGTTAGTACTTCCGGTGGAATTACTTTCGGTGGAATTGAGTTATGTCAGAAATGACATATGCATAAGCTTAGTGACAGTAATACAAAGTGTCACAACTGAAAAAATTTGTACCGGAAGTAACATATAGGTCGCCATCTTGACCTTAACATTTGGTGACCTTCATATTTACTATGATAAGTTGTGACCTTGA